TACTCTTATTTTGGAGATATTTTGTTATAAATTGTACAGATAAAGAAATTTATTTTAAAAAATTTCACTTTACACATTTTATGAGACGAACACACATGAGTAAAGATTTGACCCATATTAAACACTCTTTATAATGTTTTTATATTTTCTTGTTTCTTTTAAGAAGCAACTAAAACCATTTTCCCCTTTGTTAGCGATACCACATTCAAGGCCTCGGCATGCAGCTGTCTGGGGGATCATTATTTTCTTGCATGTTATTAAGGCTTCTAATTTCTCTTTTTCTCTAGCTCTGATTGCCTTCTTTGGACTCTCTCTGTTATGGAGACTAATAATAATTCAACAGGTATGTGAATTATGTTATCTATAAATTACTTAGGGGCTTGACCTGTATTCTTCTTGAGAGTGGAGGCTGTTTCTTCCATCTATGCATTTATTGTTAGAGCCTCGCAAATGGCTGACACTGGCAGACCCATGCTTGATATCTCTGAATGTGTAAATGAACTCCTTATGTTAATAAATCACCTCTAACTTCTTTTAGTCCCAACAAGAGGAATGGGTACATGACAAAGAGAAGATTTATAGAAGATTCTCATTCTTGTTCTAACGCTGACTTACACAAAAAGGCTTCCGTCTACCACTGACATACATCATGACGCTGGGCTGGGCCATCTCACCTGTAGGAAAGTTGGTGCCTGGCACTAATATAATACTTAGGCTTCTGTTCCAAAGTGTTATGAGGTTGTAAATTGCAATGTTGCACCAGGCGCTGTATTAGTTATTTCCTGCAGGTCAAAAGTTTAATACGCAGAGGAGAAGACAAAGGTATCAAGGACTGCTAGCCCGCTGGGTCTAGAGCACTGGGGCCCCAGGTGCCAGCCCTGCACTGCTACTGTTAACTTTATGACTCTGGGTCAATCAGTTGCCCAGCCCTGTCTGCTTCCGCATTTCTAAAAAAGCACTATATTATCATATAATAAATAATATCATGTTGCTTGTTGTTGGGAGACCACTGGGAAAATCAAAAAAGATCAAAGAGATAAAAGTCCTGATGTTTCATTTAAATATACTCTAACAACATTATCATGAACAGCAGCACGGCATGAAAACTGAGCAACTGTTAACTTTATACTGTGCTCCAATCTCTGGGTAATGTAGGTAGATGATGCTGGAAGTAGAAATTGGAAAACAGAAGTAGAAATGATTTTAATCTGTAAGTTAATATTTTAGGAGGAAAAACAAAGATTATTTAATGTTAAAAAGTCAGGTTCATGATGGTGATTGGGGTTTGGGACATCAATGTGTAAGAAGTACAAAAGTAAAATTATTCACATTCCTATCTTCATGATTTATTAAAACACTGATCAGGCTATTTTAAGAAAATGATGATGCAATTAAAATCAGGCTAATTTACTTCTTTCTGCTAGTTGTAAGAGCCACACTTGAGTAGAGACAGGAAGGAATCTTAGGCTAGCTCAGGAGAGGAGCCCAAGGCAAGGACTCCCCTGACATCCAGCAGCCACACTTGCAACTGAAAAGAAATGAAAATGCCACTGGACTTCCTAAACCCTGGGCTTCCATCCCAGGGAAAGGGAGTAGCCTTGGGGTCACTGGCATCATCAACGTATTTGTGACTGACTGGGTACCACTGCTCTGGAAACCCTCTCTAAATTAGAATCACCGAGAAGAAGGTGGTAAGATTTGGTGGGAAGTCAGAATCAAGAGACAGTCGTTGCATATTATAAGCTGTTACATAACCAGGAAATGGTTGTATGGCATATCTTCTAGATCAAAATATAAGCAGTTGAAATTTTATATGCATAAAAGACTCACATGAAACAAAACGGGATCATTGCTATTTGATTAACTTTTACCTAGCAGTTAAAGATATGTTGAATGAAGTTAGTTTTTCAAGAACATACTGATTTTAGAATAGATTTGGATTCCACCTTCTTTATGGATATGATACACCTGGGATGCCATACATATCAGAAGTCCAAGTTAGTGCTGGTCAAATCAATGAGCTTTTAACTAGAGTTGAAAAGAGCTTCCGGGAAACAATAGAAAATAGAAATGCTTGTTTGAAGCAATGTACTGATTTTGAGGTAATGTGACCTATCCATTTTAAACTTCCCAAAGCAATAGTTCCAAATGCTGGCAGTAACAAATAGAAATGCATTTAATACATTTGCCTAGCTGCTTTTCTGAATTTTCAAAATTATTTTTGGTGAATGATATAGTCATCTATATTTATAAGATTATAATTAAATATATTATATTTATAAGATTTATATAATCTTAGAGATGCTGCATACTATGTTACCAGTTAATTCTAAAGGGAAATGATTTCCTGTATTTATTTTTTAATAAATTCATTTTTAAATCTTTTTAAGGTTAGATTCATGATTCTTTTTACTTTAATTCAAATTTTAGATTGTTTTTTTGAGTAAAACATGCTCTTCACTATTTACAAGGTTATTTCTGAGTTGCAAAAATTCTCTCTCCATATTTTCCCCATTTCCCTCTATTGAATCTTGGCTGCCATAATCAAACAGACAGAAAATATGGGGACAGTTTTCTTGCATCTGTAGTAGAAACTTTAGCAGCACATAATAACTGCTCCAGGTCTCATGATTTTATTCTCTGCTTGTGCACAATAATCTGACCTATCCCCTACCTTTCTTGACTTATGGGGACAAAAAGAAACTTCCACCCAAACCCAGGAGCATCTAACTGCCTACAGTTTTCAAAACCAAAATATGTTAACAACAATAACAACAAAAATTAATAGCAAGAGTATCAAATAGCAAGTGCTCAAGTCTCTTTAAATATCTATACTATAAAAGCCATAAAAATCTGGCTAATCACTCATTATTAGATGCTACTACCCCCTCCCCATACCTGATATTTTAAAATTCATGGTGTATATACTAAGGGAAAGAGAGGAAAGATTAAGTAAAATTTGTGAATGTCAGAGCTGATTTGGATTGAGGACTAATTCTGTTCTTTAATATTCATGTTTTTTAGTTGAATTGATAACGTTTCCGTTAATGTGGGGCTTCTTTCTCCTTCACATCCTTCTGTGATCACACTAAATAGCCAAGATTTTAGGGGCAAAAGGCTGGAGGGCCCCATGACCTCTTTCTCTCTTACTGCCCCATGGGTGTTCATCCTACAGGCCAGGGAAAATGAGGAATGGTCTTTGACCAAGGCTGAATATCCTCCAAAGAGCTCAGTTTTAACCCGTGGGCAGGTTAATAAACAAACTAAGATCTGCCGGGGAGTTTGACACACAGCAGTTCCAGCATCACTCTCGTTCTGGAGGCCATGTCTCTGTGTATAGATGGTGTGTCTCTTGCAGGGAAAGACTTTCCCCAGTACCAGTTTCCAGGGAGGGATGCTCTTCAGGCAGAAAGTCTCCCCTCTCCCAGGGGATTAATCCCCTGAAGGCTGGCCATGACAAGGACAGAGAAAAGGAAGCTGGCATCTGTCACTCTCGTATGCTCACAGCTCTTCTGATCTACACGTCAAGGTGTCTAGACATCTGCTCTTGGGCTGCAGCCATTACAGATGGACTTTGCCACTCGGAAGAAGCAAAGAGGTAAAAAGGAAGTCATGTCTATCATGCCAGTAAGTGAAGATAAGTAAACCATATCTTTCATACCAGATTACCCAGAGTCAACTGACTTCCTGTATTCATTTCCCTTTTGTTGTCCATCATTCAGTGGTTCTCAAATTTGGGTGAGCCTCAGAATCACCTGGAGGGCATGGAGAAACCCAGATTGCTGGGTCCAAGCTCCAGCGTTTCTGATTCAGGGTGCCCAGAGTAGGGCTCAAGGCTGTGTTTCCAACAAGTGCTCAGGTGATGGTGATACTACTGATCCAGGGAACCACACTTTGGAAACCATTTCCTTAACTGAATGTTTCTTTAACTATGGGCCACAGACTATCTGATCAGATTTGCCTGGAATACTTACTAAACAAAGACAGGTTTATGGTCTTAGAATCTGAGGGGGCATGTTAAGGATGACACATTTTACTGATTTCCCAAGTGACATTCATGCCCTCTAAACATTGGGTCTCACTCTTACCTTTTAGTAGAGTCTCATTTTAGGGTTCATATTTCGGGAGGAGTTCTCAGCCCACCCTTAAACTAGAGGGGTGAACAAGCTGCATCTCAAGTGCCAGCTGTGTTCTGAGACTTACTCCCTGTCTGGTTATGATGTAGACCATGCTCCCCTAAGAGCTTCTCTGTCTTCATGAAATCAGGTGACCGTCACTTGGATGTATGATCATTTAATAATTCCCATTCAACATTTATATCATTTAACAAATAATCCCCTTTAATAGTGAAATAGACCTTATATCCAAGACCAACAAAACAAAACGCAAAACTCCAAAACAAGAACAACCTAAACGACTCATGTCAGTTTTAAGACCAAAGAAGGAAGAGTCAGGGCTGAGATGGTCATCCTGCAGAGTACACATCCTGCTCCAGCACCAGCATGGAACCCACTGAGAGGCAGGATACAGGCTGGGCCCCTGCTGCTATCCCTGCACTGGGCTCTCATTCTCACTGCCTTCAGCTCCACAGCCATGCTGGGAGCCAGTGTTAAACAAAGGTTCAGCAAATACAAACTGGAAACTCTTCATAAGCCAATACCTAATGGAATAAATGCTTCAATTCCTGGAGTTGAAGGACCTTAGCCCGAAAAATTAATTTTTGTGGTAGAAATTATGCAAGTTGGTCATATACTTCTAATTGAGTGCAAATCTGGGTTTCCTGAGTCTTTACTAAGTTAATTTTCCCAAGCTTGATGTTTTTTCTTACAGCCAACATGTTAGACTCTGGAAAAAATCTGTTCCACCATTCCAGCATGTTCTAAAATTATAAACCAGAACTTGCACTATCTTAAACCCTCACACTCTGGGCTTCACACACCCTCTGCTCGTCCTGCGTCAGAAACAAGTCAGTTTCTCCAAAGTCGCCTTTGCTGCTTTACCTGAACTAGTTGACGCTGGGGACTTGCTGCGCCTGGAAGGTCCCGGGCTCTTGGTGGTGCTCCTGCGGGACGATGAAGCTATTTTGGTGTAAGAAGTGGACTTCACCACTCGACATTCTGGGGAAAGAACAACCACACATCATTATAGGGTCATGGCACACACCATTCAAAATGCACAATAAACCTGTAAATAGAAACACATGTACGTCCTCAGTCACTCCTTCTTCCCGCCAGCCCCGTGCTCCTCTATAACAAAGGAACCAAGAAAACAACGTGAGATGGCGTAGTGGGCCTCTTCCCCATCCAAGTAAGCAGTACTCCAAGCCCTCTAGTTTGCCTTCTTTGCAATAATATTTTGGACACATTGGGAGTAATAGGCTGGTAAAGAGGTGGTTTTGCTGGTTTCTCTCCACCCACCCCTTGAGTTATTTGTGTATATATGCATCTCTTCCGGGATACATTGTTCTTTCTTCCAAGAAAAATGTTAGACAAAAGGTCAACCTCATAAACCAAGCTAGGAAGGAAGTGATGGAACATTCCATCCATTATGAAAGATTCCCCCCATCCTGAGTTTATTGTTCTTGGGAATCCTTGCAGCAACAGCTGTGGGTCTTTACCATGTGTGGGAAATGACAGCATTTGCTCAGAAGAGGGAAAATCGTCAAGAGGTGACTTTACCCAGCTACAAGGCCACTGCGGGAGTCTGTGCAACCACACGACGGTGTCTGTAAGATGGGTTTTGGCCACTAAGCTGTATTGACCAATTATGATGTTGTGCAAATCCACACATCTTATTCTTAAGGAACTATTTTTAATAAATAAAAATATTTTTATGCTTGTAGTGATAATCAATGTTCATTATAGATAGGAAAGTATAAATAATATTTAAAAAAAACACCCATCAAGCGATACTTTTTTTTTTGAAGGGTGGTATACAAAATTCTAGAATTTTTTTCTACTCACTCATATATTTATGAGTGATTAGTCTGTACATATCCATCTGTTACCAGCCCTTTTCATACCACAATTTATTAAGAGCATTCTCGCTCTTCCATTTAATGGCTATAGAACATGTTACTGCACGAATGTACGATCATTTGCTTAGCCAAATTCCTACTGTGGACATTTAACTTGTGTTCAATATTTCACTATTATAATTTCTCAATAAAATGAATGTACAGTTATCTGATTATTTCTTTAAGAAAGATTTAGTCCCCGGCCCTTGAAATTTAGTTCCTAATAACTGGAAACCATGGGGCACCATGGTAGATGCTCAAAAATATTTTCAGAACTAAGTGGGATTGGTAGGTCTAAAAGAGAAGTGCTTTTCTAAAGTTTTGACGAATACCCTTCTGACAGGCTGACCCAAACTGTACTTTCATAAGAGTATGAAAGTGGTCATTTGCCTGAGCCCTCACTGAGATTAGGTATTATCTTTTCAAAAACACTTTGCTACTTTCAAAACAAATATCAAACTTCATTGCTTTAAATCTGAATTGGTTTGATTGCCATTTAAGTTGTATATTTTTGCCATATGCTTATTAGCCATTCGTATTCCTTCTTTTGCAACTATTTACTCATGTCTTTTAGCCATTTGGAATTAGTTGGTCTTTTTCTTATTGGTTTGTAAGAATGTATTCTATATTAAAGTTTTATCCCTTTGTCTATCATGTTATAAATATTTATCTTTGTAGACAGTTGCTGAAATATGGCATCCTTTTAAATGTAATGTTCTTTCTAAGTACAACAGTTGAAAATTAAAGTATAATCTATTAACTTTCCATTATGAATTTTTAAACCATTTTATACTTTAGTAACAAAATCACAGTAATTCCAGATTTAATTCTAACGCCTGACTTTAAAATTTTTCTTCCTTGTCTATGCAATTTCTAATTTTCGAAGGTCAAAACATGTTTCTTTCGGGCTGGCTGAGTGGCGCGATGGTTAAGAACTGGCTTGGGACGCCAGAGGACCCCAGTTCGGATCCCACATATGAGGGCCAGTGACGCTGCCCTCTACAGCTAAGATGCTGAACAACAGCTCAACCTGGAGCTGGGCTGCCGTGAGTCGCCGGCGACGGCGTAGGCTGCAG